ACGATCGTATAATCTCATACTTATTGGACAAATTAGATTATTTGTCATAAATCCTGTCACTGTTACAATCTATGATATTTAATTCTTATAATAAGCTATATTGCTAAATATTATGTCGGTTGAATATGTCGGTAAATAATAGAGCAGTGAAATTTTTAATTAGGAAAAGGGAATTAAAAATATTTGTATAATTCTTTTAATTTTTTTAATTCTTTTAATAATAATTAATTCGTGGATTCTTTAATTATTATTTTCTCTATACTTTTATATATGACTTATAACTTATAATCGTAATGTAAAATAGAAAAAGAGAGAGGGAGAGAGGATTCCCGGATTCCCCTTTTACTATTATCTGTGTACTGTTATACGACACTTTAATTTTTATTTGTGCAGAAACATGTTTTCTGTTTTAATTAATAAGAGAGAAAACAATTTTGTATGTTCGACTATTATTGTTGTCTTTTATATTCTGTTACGAACATATGCGGATACTTCTTCTCGTTATCAACTCAACCGTGACCCACATGCAGTGTATCTTTAAATTGCATTTCACAAATTTTACGCCAGAATAATAAACAGGAAAGTGGATGACGTTATTATGTAGTGCTAGTAGTGAAAGTAGTAAGAAAGAAAAATACTTGAAAATTGATCCGGGAGAAAATCTTCACGAGTTCGATTGATGAAACTTCGTAATCTGTTCGTAATCTGTGATTGCAACAACCTATCTATTTCATTAAACATGTGAATCACTCGAGATGCGTAATTAAACAAATCAACCAAAGGTCAGTTGCTGTCTTTCGCAATGTGCTTTTGTCTCCGCAATGCAGTTACAGAAGAATAACTGAATATAGTGCACTGCTGGATTTACACGAATAATGTCTTGAAGAAAACAATGACTCCGTGGCTCCGTGCGAGAGCAATCGACTTGTCGACGATTAATTACGCAAGAAGCGCAATGTTTGCAAGTAATAAACGCGCAGGCATTAAGTCAATTAATTAAGTCAAATAATCTTCCGAATATCTCGTGAGGCGCGCAGTTTGTAAAAAAATGATCCGATAAGATATTTCTCGGCATGTCTTCTCCTTTTAACTTCGCGCGATCGTAAAATTCGTATTTATCAGTTTAAGCTCTCGGTAAGCATACTCGTACCTTGATAACTGCCGACAAAATTAATCGCACCTTCACGAATTTTAGGCAAAGTAACTCAAACATAAGAATTATGTAACAGGTTCCGCGTAATTTACATTATCGTGGGTTATCTGCTAAGTTCTTGCAGCCCGTCAGTAGACGCATTTTCAGTAGACGCAAACGTCAACTGGACGTTCGTGAAAAATGAGCAAAATCGATTGCTCATCGCGGAAAAACACAGCGTGTGAAATTAAACCTAACGCTGCACATTTGTTTAATGAAAAGTGATTAGAATATGACGCGAACTATCCGAGTCGTAGATAGATTAAGTAATTTAATTTCCTAACATTTCGTTCTGTGCAGCAGTTAGTTAACATGCTATTTGTATTTTTAATTTGTACAAGCAGCTGTCATTATTGCATACTCCATTAAACCGGATGTGTATATATAGTGATAATTATAATAAAGATAAAAACGCTAAAAGAGAATGTGTTGAGTGCCATTGACACTTACGATAGGCAGCTTAGGTACTCGTCGGACAATCGAGTGTCCATTAACGTGTTATATAATAAATAAACAGTTGTGATAGATCCAAAACGCCAAATAAAACACGTTTAACTTAAAGGCACACAAATGTTCAAGTATACAAATTAATGAATAAATCATATGCAGTTGATTAATCTGAGTGTCTAAATTTATAAATTTTACAACGATGCTAATGACCAAAATAGTTTTAAAACCATTAATTTAAAAAAAAAGTCTTTATCTTAATTGTATGCAAATAAATATTAGCTTAAAATACGGAATTTCACTATGTCATTATTTTAAGAGAGAACCAACATATCTATTATATTTATAATACTCATAATTTTGTCAAAGCAAAAAAGCGATTTAATTATATATTAACACATTTTTTAAATAAACCTCTAAGATAATGATTTAGCGGTATTAGCAATTTAAATCCAATAGATATTGCGAAAGAGTACAATCGGTTTTATTTAGCACTCGTTGTATAATTATATGACCGACGATTTTAAGTGATATTATTGTGATTCATCATGTGGTTTTTATCGGACAGAAATAGATTTCTCTTGACGAAACTGCTCTATACGAATCCTGTCGTGTCATCGACGAGCGCCGCAAAAATGTGTTTGCACGGTTCAGTGATAACGTGTCGTGCATCGTTCAAACGAGACGTACGTACGAAACGGCCTTGCCGTCTGGGTTTTCCAGCGGCAAAACCAGTTCCCGACGTGGCGATGCTAATGAATTTGATAATACACGCGACAGACAAACGCAGAACGGAGGACAAAACCTTTAGCTTATACCGGTAATATTTCATATTAAAATTATTATGACACAATATTATACGGGATTTCCGTATTAATTTTGTGAATTCTGTAGTTTTGCGAATTCTGTTTGTATATTTCGTTTATAATCTAAATTTTCAGTGCGCTGGTACGGAATATCGAACTTTGTGACTTTACTGAATAGTTTAGCTATCTACGTGACCAATCTTCACGATACAAATCTATTACTTGACGTAATACTTGACGCGGCTCTTATACAATAGTTTATATCACAATTATTTGTGTACTTTAGAGAGTTTATCAAGATCGACTAGATCGAGTGAAATGAATGTGTATTCTATCTATTTGGCTATTTCTAATCTTATGACTAACTCATAATTCGACGTAGCAAATTCACAACAACTCAACGTACTCACAACAAATGTGTTATATTTATCTCGAGTCAAAGATTTATTTATTATTTATTATCATTATGTAAATACGTGTATACTGACCCTTAACTATTACAGGGTGAAACTCAGTTTCAGCGCAGGTATTTTAAAGTATAGAAAAAATAGCGACTCTCTCTTATATCTTAGTTTTTTGTAATTTTAGATACAGCTACTTCTCTAGATCTTCATTAATCGTGCAGGCAGATCGTGGAAGATCAAATTATTGGTGTTAATGTAAAATAAACCAGCGTTTATTTAAGAGTAAAACTAAGTTCCTCTTTGGGAGTTGCTGGTCGACAGCGATTAAACGAGGATATAACTCAATAACTCAAAGAGGAATCTAATCAAATGTGTTAAAACCATAAAGCTTAAAACTGACGACTTTCACAAGTTTTAGATATTGATCGGTACAAAAATCGCTAAACAATTCTTATATACATAAATGCAAATTATTTCCCAATCGAGTTCAGATTTCTAATTATAAATTGAGGAATCTGCAAACAAAACATTAGGTAACATCCTATTATGTATATCATCATTAACATCCACCTAATTATAATTACCAAGTCACAGTATATCATATTGACATAATTGTATTAGTTGTAAATCTATTATGCAACAATTTAGCTAAGAAAACTCCAATTTAAGAACGTTATTTCTCATGCTACGCGAGGAAAATACGAATTTAATCATGAGTCTCTTTCAATATATTAATAATTTTCTAATTAATAATAAATTAATAAAAATTCAGTATTAAAATGGAACACTTATACATTTACACCACAAATATTTCTACTATGATAGCGTGTAGATATCTAAACTGCATTTTCTGTAAAACCCGTAAAAGTTTCAAAAACAAAGTGTCTCGCGTGCGACATTATATAATCACTCAATTTAACGAGATAATTTATGAAGCTTTGCCTAATCGGTTCCTAGAAACATCTATTAACAAAGTCATTAATAAAAATTTTCATTTCCAAGTTTACCAGACAATGTGTATTATTATAGAGCCGGTTTGATTTCAGTAGCTGTCATCTTACTTCCTTTCGTTAGCGTTAGTTTTATTATGAAAAATAAGTATTTCATACGTCTCGCTTAATAAGGAAAGTCTAATTTTCGAAGATTGGAATTTTGATCATTACAAAAACTAGATTGAATATTATCACGTAGCGACACTAAATATAGAAATATAGCCTTGGTATAATTTTCAATTCTGAGTCAGGTTAAAGAATGTGCATTCCAAAGTGGATGCACGGAATTCTTGCTGCAAATGAGACAGGATTTTTTCGAGAGCTTAAATGCGTCAACAATTATCTAAATCAAGCGATTTTAACTAGTGATTAGTTGTCATTCCCTACCTAGCTGTAATGCATAAGAAAAGAAAGAATAAAAATTGAAGAATAAATTAAATATTAATATCGCGCATATAACCAGTCCAATTTTTTTTCTCTATTTTTATCAAATGCTTCATAACTGGAAAATAAAAAAAAAACAAATATGTTACACGTCTAAATGAATTATATATGCTTTATTTCAGTATAAAACCAATAAAACGACGTTTTAATGGCAAGATATAGTACATAAAGTAGAAAGAAGATCAAGGCGAAAAAAACGAGAACAAAAATTGTTTTCAAGATTAAAGACTTGAAGATTGAACATTGACATGCTAATGAATAAACGTCATATTCCACGTTATATTTGGCTAGCAGCTTTTCAGCTTTTTTAAGAGGTAGGTTTTAACAATTAACACTAATTATTATCATACTACTTTTCTGTCTGTATTATAAATAATTAACATTGTGAACTTATTTCAGGATAAATTAATATGTCCATGAGAGAAGAATGAATAAACGTATTAATATAGAATAAATAAATCCTAATCTAAATACAGTTGATGTGTGGATTGGAACTCAGGCCCTGAGGCTAGCAGGAAATCTAATAATTTAATACGCTTACAACATAGATACGCGCATAGAATCGAAGAGTCAATGTAAAACTTTAAGGCTAAATACGTGATACAACTATGAATAAGAAAAATGATGTCTGCGAGAAACCGCGACGAGGAAGAGGCAGACGAAGCTAGACCTCAAGTCTATTCCAAATATAAAACGTGTTGAAATATGCATGATAGAAGATGGAAGGCCAATACGATTTTCTCAAAGTATTTTGCTTCAGGTATGATAAATAAAGCCATATATATACGTTGTTTCGTGCACGAGTAATAATTTATTCGTTACGCATCTGCTTTGCCACGCTTTTTTTTTCAATAACGAGTAATGAAGCGAAGCTACATCCATAATTATGCGGAATAATTTATCTCTCATTGTTGAAGTCTGATAAACGACGCAAGTGTGACATTCGCCGGAATAATTGATTTGCGTCGAGCACAGAACCTTATCGTTTATCGTGTTTTATCATTTTTATCGTTTTATCATTGCGATGCAAATCGACCATACCATACGAACCGTAAATACATATGAATAATTTCTGTATTAGAATTATCGTGCACTATGTGACACACGAGGAAGAACGCTTACCGTGCAATGGAAACAAAAAAAATTTCTCTCCGCGGGAAAATTCTGTGAAGCTATCGAAGGTCCGAAGAAGCGATAATCGTGTCGATGGCAGCTTGTGGTTGTAAGTGGTTGTAATTATTCAGCGTCAGCCGATTTAACATACGTTCAACACATAGGTTTAACATATAGTAATGTCAGTAATTCGCATATACATATACACGCACACACATACACATTATCGCTTATCGCACAAATGTCTACAATGGCCATGGTAGTGAATAAAAGGAGTTATAAAAAATATGTCAAATGTCTTTCATGTTTTAGGAATGGATCCTAATTTCTCGAGGACCTTCAAACCGCACTTGGAGTTCTACGTTAACCAGAGAAATCCGCACAAGTCCATTTCCAATGATTTCTACTTTTGCTTACCTTGCCACCAAGAAAGGTTGAGCGCTCTGGCAAATCGACGTTTCTCGCGGGCGTGATCATGGAAGCGCTTGGTGAAGATCTGCTGCTGTTACTGTGTGCCGAACGCGTTTTGATGTACAAAACCCCACGACGCACAACTCAACTCGCGCGTTGATCACCAACGACTGACTTGGACTGACTGGCTCGCGCGGCTGATGACGAAGCGAACCGTGTACTCTGCTCGAGTCGCGTGACCGACCGGGGAGGTACAGTCGCCTCGGTTGTTGGTTTTCTTTCAGACTTGTTGAACAATAATCGAGTAATCTGTATTAGCAAAACCATACTGTTTTGGATGGAATTATTAATTTTTTATTATATGACATAGAAAAAAAAGATTAAATCAGGGACGACTAATAATATAGCGAGAAGTTTTGTCGTGAATCATTCTGTCAGATGAATTAATCGCTGATTAAGTTAATCGGAGTGAAGTCGAAAAAGCTCAGTGCTCGATTTCTGCAGTCAATGTGTTAATTCTGTTAACAGATTATTATATATTATATTTCTGTTAGCATTCTGTATCCGACAAATGTTAGATGCTTTGCAAAATCTGTTTTCGACAGATTTAATTATCTCGAAGTCGTTATTGCTTTAAAAATATATATTTATAATTATAAATGATATATCATCTATTCCAATGCCTGTCTTTGCTTGTCTTTGCATTACATTACACCTGTACATTTTATTTTATTTGCTGGTTAATTTCTAAACATTTAGCCTGTTCTGAATTCTTATCCAAGAAAAACTTAATAAGAAAATATATATCTGTGAAAAAAATTCGCCACTGCATCGAGGAGAGGAGACAGTAGATACGTCACTGACCGATGTTGATGGAAACGAAACACGTCAAACACGCGAACGGCATGCGCGAGACGGAGCAACATGAGCAAGATGATGCGGGAAAATACGGATTCGGAAGCCTTTTTCCAGAAGTATACAATATCGGAAGAAATCATGACGAGACTCGAATCTGTCAGGGAAGCGTTGAAAGATGATATCGCCCGGGCTAATCCGATGTGGAAAATTATAGCTGGACAGGTTAGAATCGCACGTGTTGCTTATAAATTACAGTCTCTAAACAAAGTTTGCATAATCGTTTTATATTATTTAACTTTTAAACTGACATGTGTTCTCCTTGGTACTTATAAACATGAAATAATTATAGGAACAAAAAACCATTAATATTAGGCCACTTCAAGTTACGTACATATAGATACAGATAATTTAATGTAATTATTGTGAATGCATTGTTCAATGTTCATTGTTCATGTAGAATGAAGAAGAAATATGTTCAGAAAGTGAAGATAGCGACAATACTGATGAGCCGACGGACAATAGCGAGTCCCAAATAATGTGTGCCACAGATCAATCAGTACCATTACAATCTACTCAGTTTTACTTTTCGCAAGTCGAGAGAGTAGCAGAACCAGAGAAATCTGCTGTCGCATTACCACAAAAGTGTGATATTTTAGAGTGCGCCTGTGAAAATTTAGAACGAAATAATGGCAGGCTAGACTTCGCTCAGTTAGAAAGCTTATCCGATGAGGATCTTGTCCCACTAGTGGACGAGATGAGAGAGAAATTAAGTCTCAAGGGTATCTATAATCTGTGTCTGTCGATGAGCGATATGACTATCGAGCAGAAAATGAAGTATATCAATACATTTTGCACGCATATCTTGCTACCGAAGGTACCAATGGCATATTACTGATTTTACTAGATACTTTTTCCTCATACACACATTAATTATTGTTCGTACTGTGTTCATAGATAGTCGAACTCGAGGAGCCATCTCGTTTGTTGTCATCTGCTATTGTTGAATGCATTAAAATATTTCCTGATGAGGTTCAGCAATTTATATTTGTTCCTATTCTCAATACTGAGTTGAAAGACATAACGTTGGTCACCACCATTGTGAACACATTTGACCAGGAAAGGAAAGCGATTCTCTTAGAGTAAGTTTCACACAATCATGTGATATAGTCCGGGTTAATTTCACCTAAAAAATTATTTTATATTTGAATACAATTTTATTCAATTCTAAAAATTGAAATTATGGAAATCACAAGTAGATTTAATGATTTTTTAAATATGTTTTTTCCAGAGAGTTTCTTGCTGGTGTCCAAGAATTGAAATTGTGGCACATATCTATATTGCAAAATTTTTTATCCATAAGACTAGACCACAACATGACCGATAAAGTTGTCAAATTATTCTCAGAGAAGGCACTTTATTATTCTAAAGATAAGAACTTTGGAAAGCTTGTGCTGTCATTTTTAAAAGTTAATACAGCACTATCTGAAGAGCAGAAAAGTATAATGACTGAAGTCGCCGCCGTGAATGAAACGTTATTCAAAAAACCTATAGAAAGTATTTTAAGCAAAATGTAATCGCTAAATCGCACGTATAAACGACGCGAACAATTGTCTAGTTTCCTCCGATTAACAAATTTATATATATATTTGAGAATTAAATTCTTTTTAAGTTGAAATTCGATATTAATAACATTACAACCGAGTTATAATTTATACGTATAATTTGTCTTGTTCTTAATATGAATTAAAATTTCTTTAGGCATAATTCTTGAGGATTTTTACTTTTATTTCCAATACACAGATTCACAATCCATTGACTTTTTTTATTTTGTTTATGTGTAAATACTTTTCCAGCTCTGTCAATTAAAATCTCTTCATCTTTTCATTCAGCTTCTGTCCAAACTTACTCCTCAGTTTTTTTTACTGTGATATTTATACCACTATAAGAGAGAGAGAGAGATGCGCAATGTCTTCCCTAGAGGCCTTCTAGGCCTCTAGTCTTCCCTAATAGTGCATGGTGTTTCCGATGGCTAATGATGTTGATATTCGTTCTTTTCGCATCGAATTTGGTATTATCCATTAATAAAGCATAGTATTTATAATGTGCTAATTTGATAAAATTTGCTACGAGTCTGATGGAGATATTAATAACTAATACTAATTGGACGAAACGAAAGGCGATGCGCGCGAGATACGAGTCCGTGGTCCGTGCGCCGATCAGCTGACCGGAGGTTTTTTTATTCGAATGTTCGAATGACAGTTCGCATTATTTTTTCGAAGCGATATACGATTCTCCCGTAAAGACTGGTGCCCGTTGACAATATTATTCGCGGAGGCCAGGCCGCCTCGATTGCCGTACGAGAATGACACAGGAATTGTCCGGTGTAACCATAGTGATATTTATAGCGGCGGGCGTTTTGACGATATTGTTACTATTCATCTTCGCGAAACGGCAGATCATGAGGTTCGCTTTGAGATCTCGTCGGGGCCCTCACATTCCCATAGGACACGACGCGAAAAAAGTACGTTTTACGTTCAGACATGTAATTTTGAGGTTAACCCACTGGTATCTGTATCGTTGCTATATTGTTGCTTAAACGTGCGGAAAATGTTTTTCAGTCCTTGAAGAAGGAAATAGAGAGGAGAATAGAAGTGATACCTAGGATACAATACGAGCCGCAGCTTATCAGCGACCCTAGATACATTTTGACTCCAGGTGGACAAGCCCCACCTCATTATTATAGATTAAAGGCGGTTGATGATGTTAAAACCTTGGGTAAGTTATCGTTGTATCATTTTTGGGTTGACCCCTGTTTCACATCGTGTCTCTTTGCAGAGACGGAGATCACGAGGTACGACAACTGTCTGAAGAGACATCCTTCGGAGAATCTGAGGGCATATTTGCTCACCACGCTCGCTACTCCATTAAATGGAAGTGGCCAGCGTTTAATTCATCAATTCTGTGATTTGTACGAACACGCGAGACACGACCCTACCGAATTCGGCGATGAGGAGTATCAAGTGTACACTCGCCTGTTCCTGAAGTTGATGGACGCGTAAGTACGATTTGAAATGTCTACCAGTCTTTCATACAAGAAGATGCAACGTGACATTTAAATGTTAGTGTGTCTCTCAAGTGTTACTGAAAAAAGGATTATTTAGCTTAGGTATAATTTATCGATTGTTCAGGGCACGTTTATTGAAATCATATCCGAGCAGCAGGAAGTCCAGCCCTAGTCGCACGCCGATCAAGAAGAGCGTGGAGACAAAGAGAAATATTCTGGAACCCAGGATGCGTCCGCCCGAGGAGCAAATTCTAACTGGTTCGAGACCCAACACTCTAACGGTAATGACATTAGACAATAGCGAGACGTCCGTGTAGCATTATGAGTGCCGTCACATCCAGCATATGTGACGAGGAAATTGTAGATAGGTATATGACGCTAAAATAATTTATATTGAACTACGCGCAAATAGAACGTCCGATTTAGTTAGGAATTATTAATATGCATTTTTACTTTTACTAATGAATGCACTTAAGCTCGCCATTCTATTCAAGTTGCGTATCAGTGTCGAATGACATATAGTTTGTATACAACGAGCAAGTACGTTTCTTTCTGTGATTTGTTTGATATTTACATGATATTTACATTTATACGAAATCAGCCTTATAAAATAGAATTTTCGCGCTCTTCGCACCGGCATCGCTTGTAAAATATTTTACCAAGTACTGATGTACATAAGAAGTAACAGTGTGTAGAAGTCGCCGAATTAGAGAATTAGTGGTAGAACAGAATCTTTTTAAATCGTCCGTTTCTCGTTATACGTAATTTTTTCAGGTGATAGTAGCGCTAAGTCGATAATGGTACATTCTCTTCCCGATTGCCTCCACAAATAAATTTAATACTAAAATTTACATATACTCAGTCGCGTATAGATCTACATATCTCTAATAAAATTCAGGAAAAAGGTTTACAGTAATTAAAAGATAATAGAAAGGTATTCTTTCCCCTTTTTTAAATGTTTATCTTTTAATGATGATAACGGATTAGCATATCTTTTTTCTACACGTCACTGTTTAAACATAGAAATTTTTAACAATTTAACGAATTGAATTTAATTATACAATAAGGATACCTGGACCTAAATGTATGTATAAACTTATCAAAGCTTGATATAATCATTACTTTATTAGTAATAAGGTATAGACATTAAAGATGTCAGGTGTATTTACAGATGTTCATTACAATTATAAGATTTGATATCGTTAGTGAAATTCAAGTCTGAGTAATACAAATAAGTAAATCAGTTCAACGTAAAAAACTTCCTTTTTTGTATAAAAATATATCCTATGTAATCATTTGTTATATTTCATTAGTTATTGAAAACGAGTTTTGACTGACAAATAATTTTTCCATTCTGAGTTATAGTCGTCTTCATGCCTTAATAAAATCAATGCGCTTTGAAATGCAAGTATATATACATCAGGTACGGAACTGCTCCTCATGTGATTCAGCCATTTCATAATCTAAAAAGTAACCAATACGATTTAATGTATATTTATGTATAATAGGCATATATTGCGCTCGTTTCGCGACGAAAAATTCCACCGCAATTGTAAATGTAATGTTTTTTTTTTAATTGTTGAATATCAAGAGACTAACAATAAGTCTTTGTAATGTGTAAAAAATCTGTAGGCGACGAAAGACAAATTTACACATACCTGGCGTATTATGGATTTCCACATTTGTCGATCAACAAGCATAGAGATCGCCTGTGGAAACAGTCTTATCCTAATGTCTTGCGAAGTAATTAGCAATTCTTTATTCGGCAGGAAACAGTCCATGCCGGACAAGCAGATAACCAAGACAAATAAAATATCACAGTAAAAAGTTATATTGTTTTTTTCATCTGGAGTTCCCACCATAAGCGCATCGATGTGTCTTATAAAATCTAAAATCCAATCTTTTTGTATTTCAAGATCGCAGAATTTCTCCGATCTTAAGTCAGCTTGCACTTTTTGTATATTTTCTAATAAATATTTTTGCATCCTATAAAAACAAAAAATTTATTAGGCAATTAGGCCAAGCATTAGATTTATAATTACTATTAATACCTACTCAGGATTAGACTTGGTTACGTTGACAAGTTCATTCAGCCAGGCGAATGGCTCGTTGATATTTCCCTTGAAGGCTGTCTGGACTCTAATAGCGATAGCGGTTTTCAGTCTTTCTCGGGTTACTTCCCACCAGGTGCCAGGCGCTGTCATTCTTTCGACATCCCTGATTAACAATTCCATCACAGCCGCAAAATATTTCTCGAAATGTTTGGACGTTAAGTCGATTTTTCCCGATATCTCGTCCAAAAGCGTAGTCAGCAACGTGCGATTTCCCATTTGTATATCGTTGCTTTTGAAAGCGGTGACATAAGAAGACATGATGTAATTGAATAGATGAATATACTTTTTATCATTCAACAAGATTTTGTTAATGATATAAAAGAGAGAAGTTTCGAGAAATTGTTTTAAGTTATTTGGCGAAATAGCGTGGCATAGGTGCTCCAAATTCGAGTAGAGCACCAAGTGTTTCTCGTCCAGCAATAATCGATCGATTTCTGATACGGTCGCATACATAGATAAGAAACTTTCCGTCAACAATTTCGCCGACGCCGAGATTTGACAATGACGACTCGCGATAGACAAGCTATACTCCTTAGCTGCCTCCGATATCTGCATGGTTTCTTTCAAGAAGTCCCACTTTATGTTTGGCAACGGCTTCTTGTGCTTATGAGCGAATATACGCAAACACTCGACTATGATTATGTGATTATTCCGATCCGCCTTGTCGCTTCGTCTCAAATACTCGCCGACGGCCCTTATCACGCTTTTCTCTGGCAGATACTTAAAGTTTTGCGGTTCTCCTTGTGGCCAAGTATATATTCGCGATCTGAAGCCATTCAATTCGTCCCCAATATAGAAAATTAGAAGATCTCCGGCCGCCGATAGGGCACTTCTGTTCACATTCTTCAGCATCTGGATCCAACAAGTGCCCGGTATGTATTGCGGCAGGTCCGCGGGCTCGTTATCTTTATTATCTGTCTTTCCGGATGCGCGCTGTACACCAATGTCCGATAGGAAGTCTGAAGGCATAGCACTCGGAGGAATTCGTTCTATCTGGTAAGACCTTAATGCCTTGAACGCCGCTCTCGCGACCCTCATGTCATCGCCGACCGTGTAGCCCCACAAAAGAGTCACGACGTCGACGATGAGTCTGTCATGATCCTCGCTCGTACGAAACAAGTACGAGGGAATATTGGCAAAAAGATCGCACAGACTTTCCAGGACTATCGTACGCTTCTCCTTGCGCATCTTCGGTGCTAACACTTGCCACGTAGAATAAATGCCTGCAAGTAAAATCATCAAGTGTTAATCATTAAAAGTGATAACTTTTACAGAACATCATAGAGGACACACAAGAGTGGTCAAGAAAACTGATGTCTTTAAAAAAAAAGAGTTCAGTATTCAAAGATACAAGATGCAAGGTACCTATCACTGTGGACTTGCATAGGGCCGAGATGCTGTCGAGCGCGAGCGCACTGGCCGCACCGCTGTTCAGATCAACGCATCGATTCAGGATTTGCGACAGCAACGGCACAAGTTCCTCACCGTGCGCGGGCCGGTTCTCGCAAATGTACTTTATCGCCCGAGCGCATGCCACGTTCGAGCGCCAACTGTGATCTTTCTCCATGGTGTCCATCAGCGCGGTGGATATGAAGCGATAACAGCGCGGCTCCTTCTCCAACGCCTTCAGATAAAGCTGGATTGCAAAATATTTCAGCGACTTGCCGCTGTTCAGTAGCGTATCCAATGTGTGGATAACGATTGGTAGATTTTCCTTAGTCATGGCAAACTCCGGCACAGACAGCAACAGATATTTCAGCATGTAGCTATCATGAGTTCTAGTTAATTTATGCAGCAACAGGGACAGCGCGTGCGACGCGAAGAAGTTGATCTCCGTCGCTATTTGCACGAGAATATGGCAGACTTTCTGCACAACGAGAGGTTCGTCGCTACGCAGGAAGATCCCGCACAGGACCAGTTTACACATGTATCTCAGATCTATTGGTGCGAGAGACAAGTTCTCCAGCCATGACAGAGTGTCAGCTTCCACAGAATATAGACTGCGGATGAGTTCCATATAAAATTGGATGTATCCATTGCTATAGCTGAATATGAACAGCATCTTATTTGAAATAGTACCGTTACCACTGTCTGTTTTCTTTTGGGACATTATCTTGATTAATAATTTTTTCGCTGTCACTAACGCATCAGAGCACAATAACGATGGATAGGCCAACCACTTTATCAAGGCTGCAGCTAACGTGTTTAATAATATAACGTGGCACGGCATTCTGTCCACGATAACTGTACCTATTGTGTCACACAAATTGATCAAAATTAATCTTACAATTTTTTTAGGTAACATCACTGTATTATATCGGAATTTGCATATTTTATAAATATACTTACATATTTGAAGGGCGTCAGGTAAATAAGCTGCAGGACATATCAAAATTATTTCTGCCATCAAAACTATCGTAATATTTCCTATGTAATTGTAACAGCATTCGAAGAGATCCAATATCGTGTAAAAATTTTTTACAGGTTCATGACCGTGTTCCAAAAGCTGTATCGTCAAAGATGCGATTAAAGGTACTAACGCGGTACACAACTCCTTATCTCTTTTCGACAACGTCATATCCGCGAGCTCCAGAACTCGGCAATTTGCATCAATGCAAGTGTCCGCTCGATTAGTGCACAGCCAGAGTAAGATCTCTGTTCGTAAATTTGTAGTGTTGCTAGATTTAATTACGAGCTCCCATGCCTCCCGTTTGAAACTCTCATACGAATCTATGGAAGGATTGCACAGTACGTGCACGAATACTGGTCGCAGTAGTTCCACACTCTGCTCCATAACTCTGAAATTCGGATAAATCAGTAAATTTAATAAATGCTTTTAATATGCTTCTATTTCAATTTGAAACTGAGAAAACTCCTATTTATAAAGGCAAAGGCAAATAATGTAATATATTCCTATACGTCCATGCAATATCATTCTTATGATAATAGCGTACTGTTTATCATGATGATGCATGATGAACTTCATTTGATTCAGTACAGATCTCCAGCTGAGCTTTTCCTGAATCAGGATCGTGATAAATGGATGCTGAGTAGGGACTTCGAGAGTGTATTCAATGCATTTATCGTGCGACTTCCAATCTAATATCAACAATCGACTTACTGCCACAGTAACTGCCTGATAATTTCTAAAATTTGCAATAATGTTAAATAAAACTTACTTATTTCAATGGTATTCATTTAATACGTATGCACATACTTTGAAGAAGATAAGCATGCCATAAATGTTGCTAATGCACACTTGATGTCCCATAATCCAGTCTCGCCAAGTATAACCAATGCTTGGCACGCAGATGTGCTAACTATAGAATCCTCACTGTTGCATTTAGACGAGAGTAATTTAAATTCTGATATCTATAAAAAAGAAACCTATATATGAATACAAACAACAAGCAAAAAAAAAATACTAAAATGATTATCGAGATAGGAAGATTATTTACGTTTGAAATATTCTTTTCTTCCGTTTCCAATTTCTTTTTAATTATCTCAATCAGTTTGGATGTCGCCTGTAGAAAAGCAAAAGAAATTGAGTAACCATACACAGTCGCAGGACAAATGCAGATAGGTGATTAATTGTTCTCTTGCCATACTTACATGTGATATCAAAATAGGATTCTTTGATCTCAATTTATAATCAATCTCTTCCATGTTTCACGCTTATGTAGATAAAGCGACGAGATTGAAAACCAACGCAATCCGCTTTATCACTGGACAGAAAAAATTACGCGAGGGTGACATAAGATATTAACGGATAAAACACAAATATCCCACATATTTTATAATTGTAAATAAAGCATAAAAAGTGATATCCACCAATGAAAGCATGAAACTCGTAGCATAACCTCAATCACCCTTGTTTACCTTCGCCACTGCCGGCATTGTCGCATTTAGCAATACCGCCAAGTCTAGCTTCACAAAATACTATCATCAATCAATATGTTACCGGCTCACTGTTAATAATTACAGATATTTACTGACGTCAATAAAAATTCAAATTAAAAAGTCAACAAAGTCTTACTTTAAAGGAATATAATCAGCAATATAAAAGTAGATTAAAATAAATATGTTCAGTTTTTTCTTTTCGTCTTTATTTCCCGGTCTACTACTTCTCTCTAATCTTTATTAGAACTTTTACAGATACCTCACTCAAAGAGTAAGAATTTTATCAGACTTATAAACTACTAATTTCATTACTTTACCGATTTTTTTATTTCTGTCGGATGTAACGAAATAAAAGTAATGGAATATCATCAGGTGATTAAAATTAGTCCGACACTTTCATGGAAACCATCGATATTTCATGTATGTAATTTGTAGGATGCTTTTTATTTTATCCATATATTTTGACGTCGTCAATTTCAATAGCCTCGTCTTCTGAATCTAATAGCGACAAACCGCATGATTTCTCAACTTCGTCTCTCATAATCTGAAAAATGAAGACGCAGCGAAAGAAAAAATAAAGGCAAAGATGTTTGAGATTTTTGAATATATTTATTTGTATGGACAAGTTGGAGCATAGTGCACAATATATTTAATATATAGTAGTCTGAGGAAGGGGGATCAGAGTACATTCTGGAGTTTGAACACAATATCTTACAATTTAACGACAAGATGCCTGCATGTTTTTTTTTTATCTTCTTCTGTACCTGCTTCTCTGTACGTTATGTTTACTCGTATATTCATATACTCGAGATGTATAATATATAAAGCGTAACGACTCACTATTTTTATCATTCTAAAAAAAGGAGACGAGAATAAGGGTCCTTGTTTATTATGTTATATGTCTCAGTTCTCTTAGCGCATCGTTTACCATTCGCTTCTATCCTCTCTCATACTTCATTCATACGTGCATACATACATACGCGCACCTATTCACCCTTTTGTCTCATACAGTTTTTCCGTTAACTCTTTTTCTCCGTCTCTTACTTTCTCGCTTTCTCTCTCTCTCTCTCTCTCTCTCTCACTCTCTTCTTTCGCTCACGATACTCTCACGATCGATTATGCAACGTCCTGGCAAATATGCGTAGTACTTTGCTACAGTGTGTCGTATCCTCGGACACGGAGGGTTGTCTCCAATTGCTAATTACATGCGCTCCCTATTACACTTGGGCGAGTTGCGCGTCCCAGGGGGTTTTCCATTCCCGCAGGGCGAACGGGGCCGGCAGGAGGGGTGCGAGGGGGGCGAGAACCATCTACATGAACCACAAAGCTGTAACCCGTCTTCCGGTAATGTGCGATTCGCGTGTAGGTGCAATAAAGCTCTTCGAGCTTACGAGAGACGACTCTCACCATCCTTCTCACCTTATATCTTTCTCCCTCTACGTATATCCCCTAATTAGCGATTAACGATCTATATTAAAATTCTTTTTTTTTCCTTGCT